CACTTCATTGATAACTGAACATTCAACAAACTGTATAACAGCATAGTTTACCCCCACCCAGATAATACATAATATATAATATTTTATGTATATATAGTTTTGTTTATAAATCAAATCTTCACCTTCTGATATGGGTCTAAATGACAAATAAAACAGCTTCCACAAGCTTTGATTTTTTAAATTGAGCCTGTTTTATTATTTCCCAGTCTTACACATCTGTAGATGGTGAAATTGAAGACATTCAGGAGACTTACATAATAGAATTGAAGAATAAGCTTTTGAATTCTGTATCAATTGATCCAATAAAGTATTTATTATAGTCTATATAACATGTTATCTTAAGTTATACTTTATAAGTTATATATACATTTTTATCATAGTAAGCATTTTAGTTACATGCCACTCATTTATCATTAAGCAAATGTTTCTGAGCCTGCTCTGAGCCAGGAACTATGCTAGGAGCTCTGCAATACACAGTCTGTACCTTCAAAGAGCTTGCAATGAAGTGAAAGGAAAACAAAAGTAAAAAAGATACATACATGTTTCATTGTAGAGGCAAGCACCAGGGTCCTGCAGAAAGGCATGAAATGGCAAGGAAGTGCAGGCAGTAGAAAGTGTTATCTCAGTCGACGTGACTCAGAGCTGAATCAGTGTTAGCCTGGTGATAGCAAGGAGGTAACCAGGGGACAATGTGGAGTTAATTATCAGTTCTGGCTGAATTGTGTCACCTGTAGCAAGTTAGGGATAAAAGTGAGTGTACGGATTTCGGCAAGAAGTGAGAGTGGATGGAAGCTGAGTGCATTTCTGGACATTTTTTGTTTGTTTGTTTTAATTACCTGTGGGACATGTAGGTAGAGAAGTCTAGTGAAACTTAGTGGTTAAGAATTCTGGAGAGATATTGTATCAGTCATTCATGCATAGATTTCAAAAGTCATGAAAATTACTTACAATTAATAGAAAATAGTGTCAGTTTGCCTGCATGATCCCTAGTCTCCTTCCCACTGATCCCATTCTCAACTTGTAACATTACCTTTTTTGAAAATGGACTTCTGAAACACAGTGTATATTTTTGGCTATACCTGGCCTTATTCTCAAAAATGATACGAAGTGGACGATCTAGGTGCCTTAAAGTAGAAATACAGCATGAGATTAGACAATAGGAAGTTAGGCCGTCAGAACTATCAGAACTTTTCTAGTTCTCAAAAGAAACAAAAATTTTTGTATAGGAACATGAGTATAAAAAATTCATTTATGAAAATGAGTACTGTTTTTAATTATTAACACAAAGGTTTTCATTGGATTATTTCTCTTCAGGTTCTGAGTGTAAGCTAAAAGTTACTTTAAATAAAGCAGAATCAGTCATGTGGCCCAAGGATTCAGCCTGCTGATGGTCTGGCTTGATCCAAAGCCTGCATGATATTCAAAGAGGTCTCTATAGTACGATTTCTCGCAACATAGTTATTTTTAATGGAAGTCGATGGTGAATAGGGCCATGTAATACTTCCCGGTTATCATTTACCTAGGGTATGGACATTCTTTGGTACTATCACTATCAAATCTGGGTCTTATAAAGAATATTAATAATATATATTATCCAGACTTAACTTATAGACTCTGCTTTAGAAGATCTTAGAATTCTAAGTCAGCTATGAATTCAACAGTATTTTTTTCTCCATAAACATGGTTTTAGTTTTAAATAAAGAGAAACAGTCTGCTTCACTATAGATTTGCAGTTGTTACTTTCAAATGGACTGAGGGGAGTTATTTTCCCCTTTAAAATAAGACTTTGTAAAATTCTGAGCCAGAAAAGCTTTGCTGTGCTGTGGCTAGGAATTCAGAAGATGTAGCACCATAGGAATGCCCTGCCCTTCATTCAGTGAATTGGTAAGAAATTACAGGTGCCAATAACCAGGTTCTTAACTAAAAATGGTACTTATAGCTGTTGTACTTTGCTTACTTGGTCCTGAAAATGGTAGTTTCCAAGTTACAAGAGAACCAAAACCATTACCTTTTTAGGTTCTGAGCACTACTCTGAAGTTTACACTGATTCAGAGATTAAAGCCATACTTTAAACAATTATGAAAATAAGATGAATTTTGTCATTTATAGCTGTCAATAAAAATTACAAACATAACTTGAAACAAGTTTTAACACTGCTTATTAAAGAGTCCACAGTGTTAGCATGGAACAAAAAATGCCAACATACAAATATGCAAGGTTGATACTTGGCTGGTATGTGCTGCCTCTCATTTCTAATTGGTCAGAGTATCTGTTCAGATTGATTAGTCCCTCTGCTCTAAAGTTTTACAAAGATTTTGTACCTGTATTTCTTGTGCATATATGTGCAATTGAAGGGTATTCGGGGGTGGGGGGGCAAGAAAATATCGGTTAAAATTAGTATAGGGTTTCTGGCTGGAGACTGCTGTTGCAACAAAAGACATTTATATCTTATGTTTCTTTGTCTACATGTCTAAATCCTACACCATAGTTCCTCATCCAACATAAATGTCCTACTTCCATCAAACTTTCCTTGAGTTCTTCAACAAAATATTTGTCTTCTTCTACCTAACACATAATAAATTATATTCCCTTAACATCTTGTATACCAATAATTACTGTCTGGCTTGTAATAGTTATGATTTGCAGCCCACTAGGAGAATATGTGTTTCTCAATGTGGTTAGAGTAATATATTCACCCACTCGCTTATTACAACAGTTTGATATACTTTTAGTATCATTATCTTCCTCTCGTCAAGTTACAAGCTGAAGAAAAATATTAAGGAAATTTCTCAAGGCCCAGATTCTTTATATGTGCAATTTGATATCATTTTAAATTATGTTTCAATTTGGTTCAAATAATAATATAAACACTATGTATTATATACATTATAAGTTGAAAAATCGTTTTTGAAGATTGACCTATTGGTATCAACCTCAACAAGAATATTTTAGGAAAAAGCACACTCCCATATCTCAAACAGCTTACTCAGACAGAAAATCATATGGCATGGTGTTTAAAAGCAGAGGTTTAGAAGTCAGATACATCTAAGTTTGAGTGCTCTTTTGGCCATTTAATAGGCAGAGACCCGGTCAAGTCACAAAACTTTTTCAGCCTTCATTTTTGAACTTATATCATGGGATTAATAAGGGAACTTCCTATCCCGTGGTGAGGTTTGTCAGAGATGTCACCTTGGCTAGCAATCAACCTGACACATTCTAGTGCTCAAAAAGTGTTAGCTATACTTTCCTTATCAGTTTTTCACTTGGACATTATCCTCTATTTGTAACACTGGAAATACTTGCATCATTACTGAAGAAAAGGTATTTTGTAGCTTTTATAAAGTTACAAATGGAGATCTCCCATCCTTCCTTCTTTCATAATTAAGCCAGATCTGGAAGAATGTCAGTAGGGGAAAGAGGAGAGGGAGAAACTCAGGCCAGTGAAAGATGGGTAATCCATGACTGTTTTTAGAATCTCTTGGGCTTTCAGAGCTCCTTTTGTAACTTATTTGAACACTTTGAAAGCTCTTAATTAAAATAACTAAGAGTCAAAATATGATTGTTGACCAATTTGTCCTCTCTATCTGTTGCTTTACACATTGCTCACTATTTTGGCTAATTCACTGCTGTCTCAATTTACTTTGTATTTAAGTAACTAACAATATATTTACATTAGTAAAGAAACAGATAAATACTATTTATATTTTCATTTTATTAAATGAATTATATATTATTTCACTGACGTATTATGTGGCTAACTTGTGGAAGGCTTCATGCTAAGTGCTAAGATTGCAAAGGTGAACAAGACAGAAGCAGCACCAGCCTTCGTTGAATGAGAAAGCAAGATGCCAATCGAATAAACACATGACTAAGAAATAACACATTTTGAAAAATGTTATAATGGAAACAAATTAGGGTGTTATGAATGAGCATATATGGGGAGCAAAGATATGTTTAGTTAGGGTGGCCTTAAGAAAGTCCTTTCTTAGGAAATGGCATTTAAACCAAGACCAAAATAAGAGTAGGAATTGGTGGTCATGTGAAAAATGGGTTGGGGAGAAGGTATTCCAGGTTTACAAAACTGAGGTCTTCTGGGCTGGGGAACTATCATGTTGAAAAAAGCATGGCACCAAAGCAAGAAAGTATTTGAAAACTGAGGTTATTTCAGGGGAACCAGTAGGTAATGAGCAAAAGAAAGAAGCCATTGTAAAAAATGTTGTTTCCATTCTAAGTTCCATGAAATAGTCTTTAAGGGATGTAAGCATAGAAGTTAAATGATCCAATTTATGTCTTAAAAAAAGATTCTTTTGGCTTTGATGTGTCTAATGGTTGGACAAAAGCAAGCCAAGCTAGGACACAAAGTGCAGGCAGGAGATAATAGTGACTGAGACCAGAGTTTGTGATAACGGAACTAGAGATTATAAAGAGAAACCGGATGAGCTAAGCAAAAATCCAAGACTTTGTATTTTATTCTTCTTCTATGTTTCTAGGATTTGTTGCACTGCCATCTTCATAAGGTTATGATTTCCCACTATCTGAGTAAAGCATTGCTATATGACTTTGACGTGAGGTGGGAGGGAATCCTGTTACGAAGTTAGAAATGTGGGATCATTCATTGTAGATTATCATTCCTCTTGTTAAAATATTTCTACATTTCAGTTATTCAGTCATTCATTTGACAAATGCTTGGCTGGCTCATGAGAAAAGAAAAGTTATATTGATTTTTAAACTTGTACTTTCCATTGTTTATTTTCCATGTCAACCCACAACCAAAATGATTCTCCAGGAAAGTGGTACCATTAATTTTACTCTGGGGGTTTTCTCACCCTAATGGATTTTTAATTTAATAAATACCTTTATTTATTTTCCTAATTTCTGGATTTTTCTAATGCATGATCATTTGTATTAGGATACTTTCCTTCAGAATTTGAAGTGGACTTTAGAAAATGTTAAGTTGCAAACTCAACTCACACTCTGTTAATTTTTGTATTTTTCAATAGAAAAAAGAAAAGGCTTCCGTTATGATACAGAACAATGCTTATGCAGTGGCTGTTGCCAATTATGCCCCGAATCTTTCAAAAGATCCAGTTCTTTCCACCATCTCCAAGAGCGCAACCACGCCAGAACCCAACAAGAAGCCGGAAAACAAGCCAGCTGAAGCCAAGAAAACTTTTAACAGTGTTAGCAAAATTGACAGAATGTCCAGAATAGTTTTTCCAGTTTTGTTTGGTACATTTAATTTAGTTTACTGGGCTACATATTTAAACAGAGAGCCTGTATTAGGGGTCAGTCCTTGAATTGAGACCCATGTTATATTTGGGATGTATAGCAACATTAAATTTGGTTTGTTTTGCTATGTACAGTCTGACTAATAACTGCTAATTTGTGATCCAACATGTACAGTATGTATATAGTGACATAGCTTACTAGTAGACCTTTAATGGAGACATGCATTTGCTAACTCATGGAACTGCAGATGGAAAACACTCCATGCCAAAACAGTCATTGCCTTTTAAAAAGATTTTTACCCTAGGACCTGATTTAAAGTGAATTTCAGATGACCTGATTTATTTCCTATTCTTCTAATAGAGATGAAAATGGGGATCCTGTACGACCTTTTGTGGACCCTTTTGGTTTAGCTCTTAAATAGGAGTATTTTCTACTGTTGCTTGATTATGATGGAAGTTAACATTGTCATTTCTAGATGAATTATTTGAAGTAACAAACATTGTATCTGCAACATCAGCTCCGTTCATGAATGCTCAGAGTCCCTGCTAATGTAACTGGAAGCTTGGCACACATAAGAAAAACTAGAGATTTGAAATCAGCTTTTAATTACTCTGTATAGTATCTATAGCCATGAACATATTACAGCATGACAAGCTCAAATAATTTTGAGTCAGCCCGACAGGATGTTAATTATGCCTACGATTTAGTAACTATTGGAGTGTCATTGTCATTACACTTTTAGCTTCAGAGTTTATTTGAAAGTAATAATTGAAATCCTACAATTAATTTTAGTCATTGGATACTACCTTAATTTTAAAAAAGAAAATAAATGTGTCTTAATCTTTCCAGGTATGTGTTGTATTGAAATTGATCAGCTAAATTTTACTGGTGCTGGAGACTGGAAAAAGCATCCAGTTTGGTTGCTGTGGAGCAACATGCATATTGGATTAGAAAATTGTGCCAAAAACTCCCACTGATGAGCATTCACAGGTGTCCTGCACTATGGCAAGCACTTACATGATACTCCTCCTTCCTGTTTACTGCAAATTCTGCCTTAAGGCTTCTTTTCAGGACTCAGAAGCCACTAATTATAAAGGAAAGGGCAGTTAATTGGCACATTTTTCTCTTGTGAAAGCAGTTCTTTCAGATAAGAATTAATGTAAATCTGCTTTTGTAAATTGCAACTTTAAATTTCACAGACTCAAATTTACAACAGCTTTGTATACCAGAAGAGGTTTTGGTAAGGGTTGAACATTTTTACACTGCAGCTTTAAAACATTGCCAATAGATTGTGGATTATTTCACGCGCACAAACATAAACACACACACACGCACACACATACTACACACACACCCCCCTAAATTAGAAACCACAACTTTAAATTTTATATAAGTACTAGCTATTAATGGGTAAAATTCATTTTTCTTTTAATATTTTAAAATATTATTTATGCCCCTGAAATATACTAATACAAGTTAAAAATTGTGTATTATGCCTAGATTCAAAGTTTTTGGCAAACCTCAGATACTTTTGATTGACACGTATATTAGCAGTTATTAGTTGACTTTTACCAATATATGCACCTTTACGATGGTGTTTTTGTAGAAACATAAGTAGTCAAATAGTAACATTTATTGCAGTTTTGTACAGTATTTGAGCATAGTGCATAAATAGGTATGTTAATAAAATCAATAAAAGGAGTATCTATGGAAATAAGGAAAATCTCAACAAAAATTGCTATTCCTTTGCCTCATTTTTTAAATTTTCTTTGTTTCAACGTGATTCTATTATATGCTTTGCATGATTGTATAAAACCAAGGTCACAAATGCAACTTATTAACGGAATTTGCCAAGAAGACAACGTTGACATTAAAAATTCCCTCACAAAAGGTAATCCATAATCCTTCATAAACTAAAATTGTTACATGAGCCAATAAATGTATTTATTTAATTCCCTTCCAGTAACACCTTCTTTGTCACCTAGTTTTAAAATGTGCACTTTATTCATACATTGAAATAGAAGATATCCTGTTTTCTTATACTTTTAAATACAGCATAGTTCTTCTGTATAGTTTAGGGATGTGTGCAATTGTATGAGAAAGTACACAATGCTAGAAGGCAAACAATGAAACTGCTCTATATGGTATGCATTATTAGATACTTTAAGAATATTTTGCTTGTGAAGTCCACATTGCCCCCTTAATGTCTGACTATAAGTTATAAATTTATAAATATGTGTATATGTAAAAACCATTGTAAATAACAGTTTCTGTATGACCACAGAAAAGACTCATCTATACTTTGGGCAAAGAGCTGCTACTATACTGATGGCACCAGTATTATTAGCACTTGTGGCAGATCGAACAGGAAACTTATTGCTGTTACTCTTTTTTTAAATTTCAGTTAAAATTTTATTTGAGTACAATGACATTCTGGCAGTTTAGATTTTTCAGTGATGGGGATCAGAATTCTCCGTTATTTCTTTAAACTTTGGTGTACTTTTTACATATTTCTTCTTCTTTCAATGTTTAAATAAATCAAAAGGAGCTTCTGCTCTTGTGGGGAGACTAGGGCTGCTCCATGGAAATTGCTTTTAAATTATAGAACAAGATTCTTAACAATTATTCTCCTTTCCATGAACCAATTTAAAAACAAATTTAAAAGGATATTAATTTATCACAATAAGGCCAATTTTTCTGGAAATACATTTTATATATACTAACATTGATTTCTTTGGCCCATAAGATTATACCTATTTTATGCAGTTGTACAATTACATAAAGAGTTATGGTATGTATAAAATGTAGATAACTACATGTACATATATAGAGATATAATCTCATTATTTTATAGCTACTACTCTGATTTAACTAATATTTATTCAAAAATATTTTTTACTTCCTCTGCCATGCCTTGTAATTGGTGTTGATATCACTCATGTCATACCCACTGAATTTAGTTGAAATTTTAAGTGCATCTCATTCTTATAATGACATGAAATGAAAGACTACATAAAACATGTAAATTAATTTAGTACTGGGAGTTCTTTAATGATGCCACTAATGTGCTAAGATGGGTGGCTGTTTTTCTCTTTTCTCCTGTTTATGTTCCTATATGTTTGACTATAAAATGGAACAAGTATAACCATTTAATAATTTTTTAAAACTTTAGTGATTTTATTAAGTGCCAATCTTAATGTTTAGAAATGTTTTCAGGGATCTCTCTGTTTTGAATTTATCTCAGGTTTGGATAAATGATCCCCTTGAGCCATGTTTCTAATTTTTTTTTCTTAAATAGTTCATAGTTTATTTTTAAAAACAACGCAGAATCTATTATTTTACTCTCATTATTTCATATGTATAATTTGCATTTATGTGGCTCTTTTTGAATTCCTGGTTGAGGGACACAAACCCTGCCATGATATAATCATGGATTCTAGAAAAGCACCAAAGCTTTATAGGTACTTTACTTTGGCACGGCCTGTCATCACTCCAATGAAAGAAGAAAGGAAGTAGCTCAAGTCACCTCCTGCACTGTCATGGTTCTTCGGCATCCATTAATAATTTGTTTAATATATTCTATGCCTGATGCCCTCAGACACATGTCTGTGAAACACAGACGTATTTATTACCTACTTGGAAATATCAGGTTATGTTTATAGATTTACTAAACAGATTATTCTGGTTATTAGTCTCCTGGCACACCTACATTCATCTGCATATTTTTGAAGCAATGGCCAAATTTTTTATTATATGAAAAGATTCAGAATTTCAAGGGGATCACTACCCGACCCACTGCTATCCTATAGTGCCATTTATTTTCCTTTTAATTGAGGTACCATAGGCACCTCATGCTTCCCTTTTATTAATTTAAACTACCCAGAAGTGTAAAATTTTAACTGGGGAGGGGTGCAGTTATTTTTGACATCTGCATCCTTGAGAAACGTGGACACTACACCAAAACCACTTGTAACAGTGTGGTGAAGACAAGTTATATTTTTATCCACTGAATTCATGCTTTAAAAATTAAAGTAAATATTTAATATAATTATTTAATATCCATAATATTTTCCTATTAAAATTTATGTTAAAGTTATTAATATTTTCCATCAGTATTTAAGAGCTCAGAATTATTGAAAAGAAGAACCCACAGGAAACGTGAGGTTGTTGTTAATTAAACCAAGTAAGCATTTTTCCCTTTTTAACTTCTGAGAAAATAGATAAATTTTACATATGTAGACACACAAATATTCTAAGAGCTATTATTCTATTGTAGATAAATTATACAAAAGTAGACAAACAAATATTTTAAAAGTCATTATTCTATCATAGCATCATAATGAAAATACTAAAGTAGAGAAAGTTCATGTGAAATCCATTTGGGAAGGTAATAAATTATTCAATATCTACTTATAAATATTATATATCATAATTTTGGTTTTTTGCTAAAATTCTTAATTATCAACATATCTAGATCACTGTGTCTCCAATCTTGTTAAGTTGAAATATTCTATTTTTGTTTGTTTATATATGAAGAAAAACTTATACAGGTAATTATACATCCCACCTCAAACTACTCAATGATGCATTTAATACATAACATTACCTAATATTGCCAATAGGAAAGAATAATTAACAGGTTTATGTTTCAGCTTACAGTAATGTTCCCAAAGATCTTTTAATAAGGTCTTAGCTGTGTGTGTCAGTGATGTGTGTGTGTTTGTGAGTGTGTATGTGTGTAATTCCTAGGTATGTTTGGAATAATATTTTAAGAAATTCGAATAAATTTATGAAATCTAAACAATTTGTTTTATTGATGGATCCTATCACAAATTCAGCTCTTATTAAACTAGCAGTTAACTTACACAATAGAATACCTTTTTCAGTAAATCCATAACAAACTTATTAATTACAATTAGGTTTGAGCTATGCATATGGCTAAAAATATCTTTTCTATGTTGGTGTAAACATTTTTGAATGTATTTCTAGGTTTTTTTTTTTTTTTAAAGATTGAATTCAAAATGATCTTGCAATTCTGCTTCATGAGATAGAATAGAAACATCTTTGAATGCCAGATCTCTCAATGGAGGTTTGTGTAAGCTCTTTTAAAAGTTAAACATCTGGTTATTTACAAATACAAAGTTATGTATATTCATTACTGGTTTGTTTCATACCTTACTTTTTGAATTGGAATGGTTCAGTCTTACAGAGAGCCCATCACATACTAGTCAATGTTCTAAGTTTTTTATGCATATTAGTTCATTCAGTCCTCACAACAGCCATCATCACTGTGTGATTCTTGAAGCTCTGGAAATCTAGAATTTCTGTATAGTACACCAACATGCCAGTTTATGTATATTATTGGAAGAGTAAACAAAACAAACAAAAAACCCCCCAAAATTTGCATTTTTTCTTTGCTTTAATTCAAATTTATATTTATGCCTTTTGGGGAATATTCATTCAATAAGGAAGCCATTACATGGTTTTCTACACAACAAAACAAGTAAAAAACAAACACTAAACAATAAAACCGTACTGTACAGTAAGCAATACCCATTTTTGTGATGCTAGCTATTTACTAACGTTCATGCAATTTAGTTTCTGGGAATATATTGCAGTTTTCTTTTTTGGTTCACAAGTAATGATCATGTATTAAAAATGATTAATGTTGATTAAGCAAAACTAAGCACTTCCTTCATTTCTTTTTTTTTTTTTTTCCTAGTTTTGCCAGTTTTATTAGTGGTTGGAGAGATTTGTTTTCATTTGCCATATTGTTGGTTTCATAACATTTAATCTCATTGGACTTCAAGGAT